TCATACCGCGATCTGGAATAGATACCATTAAGATTGTTTCCTTTTCTTTTTATTATCAATTATATACAAACATTTCTACCATATCTTTTATACCAATATCTTTATCATGGCTCATGTGCTGATATATCAATTAAATCAATTATATATATAGCAAGGATTAGTATGGCACAGGAAAATATGTTTGGCAAATATCCATAGGTCTTAGATAAGAGAATAAGTTTGAACCCTAATGTAATCAAAATGGTTTCTCATCAACAATATTTCATTTCATAGCATGTTTGCATATTGATAATTTGACATAAAACAATAAGTTAGCACACTAGATAATAAACTAACATATAAAATATCAACCTCTTGACTATGGTAGAAACCAGTTATGCAGTACCTTATCATACTCTTTATTTTCATTCAAATAGCCCACCTTTCACGAGAATCCCTTGAACACCTTCGAGGCTCTGTGCGATTTCTTGACTCAATTCTTCTAGACGAGTACTCAGAAGGACTTCTTGATCTTTTCCTCCTCCTGCCGTGTCTATCACGCCATCCATTGCTAGAGTAAGCATCAGAGTAGCTTCTACTACTTCCCTTGTATCCTGAGTCTATACTACAACGATCATCTTCATACCTATGGTCAATACAAGTGATTAATAGTCTTCCAATCTAATTTTGATCTTTTTACTTTGTTTGAACTTTTAGAATATAGTAATAATGAAAAAATAAAATTCTCTTGAGTAAAGAGGAGGTAAATATCAAATTTCCCATAGTACACATAAAGTTATGCTGTTAATTTGCATTTAACAAGTAATCTGTGGATGAACACAAAATTCAACAAACTGCAAAGTCATTCTTACCCTGTCCTTGAAGAAACTTGAGAAGATCTTTCTTGGCCATGGATAGAGGAGTCATGGTCTCTCCCTCTGCTATTGCCCCTGTAGCTATTTCTCGATGGGACGCCACTTCTCTCAATACCCGACCTAGCTGTAAGGTCTTCAGTGTGAGGTCTATGAGGTCTCTCTGAATCCCAATCAGACCCGTGCCACGTTTGGTGATGTACATCCCCTGGATTGACACCCCCCCAAGCAGAGCCAGGGGGAGGCTGGCCAGTTTGCACCATTTGTGAAGAAGGAGGAGGAGACACTCCCCACCCATACATGGGGGTTCCAACATAGCCAGGGCCAGGAGGTGGGCCAGGTGAAGGCCCTGGAGGCGGAAACTGGGTCAGCGAAAGGGGTCCAGATGAGCTCACTGAAGGGCACTGAGGAATGCCAACAGGTCCAGGACATGACCTAACTGGAGGGGGACCAAAATGCCCATTGGATGGCAAGCCCGAGGGGGTGCCTGAGGGAGGGCCTGGGGGTACACTGTGCTGGGGAACATTGTACTGGTTTGGCATGGAGGTCTGAGGAGCTACTGCATAGTGATCTGGGGGAGCACCTTCAGGCATGCCTTGATTTGGTGCTCCATACATAGGGGGAGGACCATGAGCATTTGGCCAGTTTTGGGGTGGTGCATTTACAGGAGGTGGCTGGTTGTGAGGGTACTGGTGCATCCCTCCAGCAGAAGCACCCCATTGTGGTGGTGCACCATTACCCGGTCCTACATACGGCCACTGGGGGCATGCTGGCCCTCCTGCCCATGATGGTCCGCTACTCATAACCTCACCTGTTGAATTGAAGAGAGAAAAATTAATAATTTGGGCACATAGTTTTCAGGAAGTCTTAGTTACATCAGACCAAGCAATAGTAGAAGAATATATATCAAAGTACAAAAATCTATCAACAAAAGGCAGGTTTATCTGATTAAGTTAATAAATTGATGGTGACATTTTTTACCACCAATCTTTATCAATTCTATACAATGTTACAGTAACCAGTAGTACCAGTAGAAGTCAAACGCCTCTTTAATTTGCTTAGTGATAAAAAAATAACCACAGCAGAGTATGAAAAAAATTATTTGGTCTATCATTTACAGATGTTTTGACCATACGGAACCTCTACTTTATCATCCTGGACAAGTTTTCCATCTTGTCCATCTTGCCCTCCTGCAGAGCTGGGCAAGCAGGACATGATGACGTCACTATGGCACTTGTATGTAAACACTGACAGTTGAAGGTAACCATAAGATATTGATGGGCAATTTTATGGCCCTTTATTGATGTTATCAAAAGATATTTTTGTGTTTGTCAGTTGCAGGTAAGATAAATATGCATCAAAGGATTTACAAAACTTATGTAGCGTGTAAAATAAGGACATCGATATGATAAAAGAGCAAATGTTTATTTTCAAGCTGGTTGCATTCTGGGCAGCAAGGGTCTTGGAGGTTCCAAACGCGGCCTCATCGTCCTGCTGGTCCTGACAAGCTGTCTAAACAAGCGAGACGAAGAGTTCAGAACACAGCATGAACCAGTTCTCGATCTATTTTCATGTTGCCTTTCCTGGAGAACTGTAGGTCTATGGCTACAGCCATGGCAGAAGTCATGGGACATTGTGCCAGATCTTTA